CAATCCTTTCAGAGCATTACGTGCGTTAACACGTTTAACTTTGAATATAATAATATTCTTGTTCACCTTTCTAAAATGAAAGTACGTTTCACATGTTACAAACAAATCTATGCATTCCCCGTCGAGATTTAATACGTTAAGTATAGCTGGTGTCAATATAAATTCAAGTCGTTCTACATGCTGGTTAATACGAAATACCAACGATTGTTAAAATCAGAGCCAAATCCTGTGGATTAAGCGAGAGCCAATTTCACTTAATGTTATTAATTAGTATAAATATATATAGTTGGTTGACAGTCCACCAACAACAAAAAGTGGTTAATAACACCTTCTTCTGAGTGACAGGCGAATTACTCACATTCTTCGTTCCTGAAACACACTGATGTTGATTTGGTATATAGCCAAGTCTATTTCAACATTAGCTAAAGCTTGAAGTACACAGAAACTCAAGGATTTAAGTATGTTTGTAAACAAAACTAGTCTGATATAAATTTAGGCTTACAGATTTCCTCCGACAATACAATATTTCTTTAAAAAGATCATCTAAAAATAATTATTTATAGTTTTGGTTTCAGTTTTGTGTCTATACATACACATTAATTGTTCTGCTGTCTTTCAGATTTTGTTAGTTTCATTTTTTGAATAAATATATTTCAAACATCTTCAAATAGTACAAGCGAAACGCATTAAACATGTGATAAGCAACACAAATTACTATATGTACAATAGAGGATAGAGCTTAGACCGACAATCTTAAATTTTGAAGATATTAATAAAAAGAGGGTTTTTGTTTCGTCTTTTTGAACGTTAACATAATTGGATCAATACTTGTGTAGTTATAGATATAAGTAATCACTAAGACTCATGTTTCTCAGTAACTTATAACCCTCAGCAACAATTGTCAGCTTTCAGGCAGTTACTATAGTTTCGATTTAGTAAATATTAGATAACACGCCATTGTCCTACGAGACGTCCCCTTGAGGCTCAGTAGTAAGTTTGATGGCTTGTAACACTAGAATTCGAGATTCAATCCCCCGCAGCGGACACAGTGCAGATAGCCCATTGTGCATCTCTGCCCCAAACAAAAACCTAAGAGACCGAACACTTTCACGTGTACGGAATGAAAACTGACCATTTTGTTAACATAACAGAAACAATAAAACACAACCAACAAGACATCCTCAATTACTTCTATGCTTACCAATTTACTCACAAGGGCAATCTTCTAACAACTTCAATAATAACTGAAAGTTAATCAGCTTGTCGCAGTGCACAAAGAAAAATCACATTCTTAGGACTAACATAACTTTGATGTTCATCAATGTACTCACAAGATCAACCTCTTAACACTTCCAATAACAACTGAAAATCGATCAGTTTGTCGCAGTACGCATGCAGTAACCACCCACCGTCTTATGACTAATTTATAAATTTCTGAGTTAAAGAAATGAAAAACAATTGTAGCTATGACAAGCATCTTATTAACTTCTGCCAATATAACCACTCATCTTGTCAATATTCAGCTTTTTATTATTTTATGCATTTCTGTAATTATTCGTCGTTAATATATTATCGTAAACTCTCGTATAAAATTTTGTTGAAAATTGTGAAACGAGACCTAAATTTATACTCCTCATTTTGACAAATGTACAGTTCACATTAATGACCACAAAATATTTTTCCTGATTTATTTAGGAACAGTTTGTGAAGGTTTCTTTGTCATTCTCTGGATTCAGGAAAATCTTTCAATGACATGCATAATTATTTGAAGTCTTATGTTTTAAATGTTTTCAATATCGTGTTTTGGTCATTTACAACATGGATATGCTGAACGTATTCTAAAACTGTTTATTTTAAAATTATGATGAAAAGACGTTAAAAAAATGAAAAGTATAAAATTTTACAGACTAGAAACGAATGAAATAATAGCATAAAATATGTTCTGCCATATTTCTTAAATTTAGGGACTATCAAAACATGAAACACTGAAAAAAAAGGAGTTGATCAATGACTTTTTCATGATTCAAAACGCAGTCCAATTAGGAGTGAATATTAAAAAGTGAGATCTTTCGAAGGTTTCGGTGAAACACCATTGCAAATTTTTATTAACTAGAGAATTGACATTATGGAAAACACATGCAAATGAGAAAATATTTTGAACTAAACTTTTAGCGGTTTTTAAAACCCGAAATGACAGGCTTGCAAAGTGGTAAAAGAAAGGCTAACTAACCAAAAACACCATAAAAATACAATATCAACAGTTAAAAGGATCGTTTAAAAATTAGATCACTTGTTATTGAAACAACAAACAAGAAAAAACGTGTTAATGTCTGAGAAAGTTTTTAACATAACAATTCTACGTGAATTCAGTTTACAAAAAGGTTTTAAGATTAGTTAAATATCGCATTATGACTTCTATATTTTGGTGTTCTGCACGTTAAAGAATTACCACTATGTCTCTCAAAGATCTCATTCACTTATTTTGTTTGATTTTGAGCACAACACAATGGGTTATGTGTGTTCTGCCCACCGAAGATATTGAAACCTGATTTTTAACGGTATAAACCCTTAGACTTACCGCCGAGCTCTCCAAGCATCCAAATATAGTAACCATGCCAAAATGTAGTCCTAAGCTATTTATCCGTGGTGTTGTCATAGGTATTATTTGGACATGTGTTTGAAAGAAACGTTCGTGGAGTGCCATGAAGCTGAGTTAATATATAATTTCTCCGAAAGGGGGCCGAAGGCTGCCTGGAATGGTCATCTGTTTTAACCACTCGCGCCATATATAGCCGTGTGTTATCAGACAGTAGACACTAAAACAACGTCACATAAGGGACGCTCAACGTTGCAATTTGTATTGTTGTGACGTCAGTAAAACGTGCGCATGCCATGAATCACGAGAATAATTATGCACTTTAGGCTACAACACACTATGACGTATGAACTTTAAAAGCAAGAAATAACAACATTTCTTACTTTTAATTTTGGTTTTATTTACTCTTGAAAAAGAACACTCTCGGAGACCCTGTGGAAGTACAACTGGCTTAGTAACATGTATAATCAAGCATTCACACGTTTCTAATACTGTTGCAATGAATGTAAAAAAACAAAAAAACAACGTAAGTTTGGGTTAGTACTCACAGAGCAGTCGTTCTCTCCTACATAGCACAGGTCACTAGAAGCACTGGTCGATACCCACAGATGATCTCCTGTGTTGGCTGCTTCCTGAAGGAAAATGATAAAAGTTAAAACGGATCCTTTAAAAATTAAATCACTTTTTATTGAAACAATAAAGCAAAAGCATAGTAATGTCTGAGAAAGTTTTTAACCCATTGGTTCCAGGTGATTCAGTTTACACAATAGTGTTTTTATTCATTGTTGAATGGACGTTATGGAAAACACATATAAAGGAGAAGATGTTTTCAAATAGACATGTGTTTTTACTTAATTGAAACGCTTTTAATTATATGTATAAACACAAATTAAAACTGTTATACTTTGTTCTGAGAACATTTTCTCATGATATAGGTTTTGTTTATTTATTTTTGAATTTCGTGCAAAGTACACGACGGCTATCTGCGCTAGACGTCCCTAATTTAGCAGTAAAACAATAGAGGGAAGGTAGCTTGTCATCACCACCCACAACCAACTCTTGGGCTACTCTTTTCACCAAGGAATAGTGGGATTGACCATCACATTATAAGGCCCTCACGGCTGAAAGGGGCGAGCATGTTTGGTGGGACGGGGATTCGAACCCGCGACCCTCAGATTGCAAGTCAAGCGCCCTAATCACCTGGCCAAGTTTTAAACCCCGGGATTTTTTATTTCGGAGATCAATTATTTTTATGCAAGTAGCCCAGGGTTGTACTATATACCCTCTTACAAGGAGGCATTACTTTTGGTATGTATTTTGCAAACACTGTATCTGTAAGCCTGTATATCATTCATTAAGTATGTAAAAATACATGATAGCAGATATAAAGGATTTGTTTTAATAGGTTTCGCGAATTAAGCTTGTCAAAAATTATCAAAGATCAAAATGAAATGTTATTTCGGTGTTTGGAGCTACTGCAGCTCCTGAACTGCAGTTTGTTTAAATCGTTTTACATAAAGACCAAAGCAGCTGTTTCATTTTCTGTTTCTTTCTTTGGTTATTTCTCATTTTATGTTTCTCAATTTCATCAAAATAATTTTCTCAAACACCAAAACAACATTTCATTACGGTCTTTGATAATTTTGACATCTTCAAGTCGGGAAATTGATATTTTTTTCCGCTAATGATCGAATCCTGAGATTAGGTGTAACAAATATTGCTTTCAGCTACTTGAAATGGAGAGATTATCTTTGGAAATGTATAAGATACACGTAATGGAGGGATTAACTTAGGAAATGTGCAAGCTACACGTAACGGAGAGACTAGCTTTAGAAATGTACAAGCTACCATAACAGAGAGACTAGCTTTGGAAATGTACAAGCTACACGTAACGGAGAGACTAACTTTAGAAATGTACAAGCTACGCGTAACGGAGAGACTAACTTTGGAAATGTACAAGCTACACGTAACGGAGAGACTAACTTTAGAAATGTACAAGCTACACGTAATGGAGAGACTAACTTTAGAAATGTGCAAGCTACACGTAACGGAGAGACTAACTTTAGAAATGTGCAAGCTACACGTAACGGAGAGACTAACTTTAGAAATGTACAAGCTACGCGTAACGGAGAGACTAACTTTAGAAATGTACAAGCTACGCGTAACGGAGAGACTAACTTTGGAAATGTATACGCTGCACGCAATGGAGGGATTAACTTTGGAAATGTACAAGCTCCGTGTAATCAAGCGATCACCTTTGGAAGAGTACATGTTACGCGTTAATGAAAAGATTAACTTTGGAAATTTACAAGTGATGGAAAAAATTGTAACTTTAGAAATTGCCGGTGACAAATAATTAAATTATTAACTAGCACCTTTAACATTTTTACTAATTAGACGTAAAAGAAATAACTAATTTTACCAACTTACCAGTTTCTTGTATCAAACCGATAAATTAACTGATTTCCAAAACATATATAGTGTAGCTAATTTTACCAACTTATTTGCTACATTGATTGTCTGTTTGTAATTAAGCACAAAGCTACAAAATGGGCTATCTATGCTTTGCCCACCACGGGTATCGAAACCCGGTTTCTAGCGTTGTAAGTCCGCAGACATATCGCTATGTCACTGGGGGGTTTGCTACATTGAAAGCACAAACTACCTTATCGGTCAATTAGTAACTTCAAATGCAGAAATTAATTTAAGCAATTTATTAACACGTAAAAACGAAATTAACTTTGGAGTTAATCAGTCAAATCAAATGATGAGACTAACTTAAAAAATTATAAACATGTAAAAAAAAAAGAAAGCTAATGTTCATAGTTTGCCAGCGACATGTAATAAGTCACTACTGTCTTTAATGCGACCAACGAACACTAGAATGCATTAGATAGTGGTATCCCTACTGATGACACTTTATAACAGTTAAAGTGATTAATATTTTTCTTATAAATGAAACTGTTTGTTCTATTGTATTATAGTTTACACAAAAATGATCTTTAAATCGACGCAAGAATGTTCAAAATGGCAAGGAAGAGATGAAAATAAAGGACAAAAACTATGAGAAAATCCTCGTAAAATACAATTTGTTGCCAGTCAGTTGGCAATGACTGCAGTATGTGTAGGTGTGTGGTAACGATATTTGTTTAATTACATGTACAGCTCTGGCCAAACTTAAAAGAGAAAACGTGACGCCCATGTTTGCTGGTTTCACCAAATTGTGATTACTTAGTTTTTACTTTACAAGTGTAAAACGTTACACTGTAACATGGCAAGCATATCGAAAGGTTACATGTTTATGAATAGGTTTCATTAGGCATAGCTTTTAAATGAACAAGACCCGAATAGCTAAATACTTCTCAACCTTTACAGATACAACGGTAGAATGTATTTCAAGTGAATAATTAAACAAGTTTTAATTTGGTTATTTAAGTACTATATTCAAATGAGAAAAAACAACAACAAAAGACAGCAGAATAAGAATGCTGCACAGCAGTAAACGAAGGTGATTAATTTAAAACAGGCTTAACTAAAGTCTACCGTCTACCAGCCGAGGATTAACATTATCGAGCATGATAAGAATTAAAATTTTCCTTTGCTGACCACGGAGAACTTGAAATAGATTACATATTCATTTTTTTTTTACTGTTGGCGGAACAAATTTCCTTCCATTTCAGTACTACTTGTTGCTTAGCTGACGGCATTACTGTGTTCTTTTTTAAACTTCTAGCTTATTTATATTTATGTAAAAAATCACCATAGAATTTTAGATTAGGCGTCAAACCTCCCAAGACTTTTTTTTTAAAACAAAGTCACGACTCAAGAGTTTTTGGATGCGGGTTTCAGTACATTTTATAGAACAGTGAAACATATGAAGTTCCTCAACTTATTCGTAATATCAAGAAATTCATATCAGCATCTAGAAACTTTAAAGAAGGTATCTTCATATAGTTGATGAAACCTGAAAGAAACAAGGGCGTGTCTTACTCTCATTTGCCGGTCAAGTTAGACTTTTCACACAAAGCTATATAAGGGCTATGTGTGCATAGCCGTCCCTAATTTTCAATTAATAGACCATAAGGAATTGAGCTAGTCAACAACACCTATTGCCAATTCTTGGGTTACTCTTGTTCTCACCGAATAGTTGGCTTTGAATGCCACTGTTATAGGGAATTCACGGTCTCGAAGTGCAGAGTGAGTTTCTGAAGTAACAGGACGCGAACCATGAACCCTCGGATTAAGAGCCCGGAAACTCTAACCATTAGCCCCGGATCAGTCGCAAAGAAATGTTTAGTTCACAGTCCTTTAAGAAACGATTGAAACAACAACAACAACAACAAAAAATAACCTAATGATTAAACAATTTTAGTGTGGTAACTCAAAGCGACTTCATGGCGAAATGATATTGCCTGAGTTATTAGTTAGAGAATTGCATTATCAGAAAAAAAAAACACTCTACAAAACTATTTCTCCACAAATACAGAGAAAATGCAATATCTATTGCTGGATATTTAATATCTGTGTCATTGCTTTGCTAGAGATTTAGGCTCGGTTTTCTCATACACCATATATCTAATTCAGATTCCAGAAACTGATGATACCAAGTAGTAATGATATACTATTCCTGGCTATACAAATATATCAATTTGATTCGTAATGGCATAGTACTATTTCCAGTACCGAAGCAGGTAGTTCTTATGTACTTATGAACCACAGAATTTCACGGTTTACCTCAGGCAAGCGGTTTTTGTTTTTCTTCTATCGTTGGTGAATCTATTTATCTTCTACGAGTTGAACTGGTATCCCACACGTCAGTAAAGTCTTACTTTTTCTGTATGGTCCGAACTAAACGCACACAAGCACGAATTATATTGAATTATTTGTGCGTTTTTTGGGGTGGGGGACGACTTGAAACGTTCCAACTACTTGGTTTTTATTTTTAACCTGTACGACACACGGAGTCAAGTCAGAGATCCATAATTTAGAACTATTGCCCAAAGAGAGAACAGACAGTCAACAGCATCTGCCGTCTACATATCGAAGCGCCTCATATCTGAAAATGTAAAGCTTAGTTGCGGATTCAAACATTATACTTTTTGATACCTAGTTTGATACACAAACCACTTGCCCGCCCATCACTGAAACGTCGAAAGACTAAACTAACTAGGGAAGTAAAATCCTGAAAACTTTCTGAAACTCAACTCCAAAACTGACATTGCCATAGAGGTAATAATAGAACTAACGCACAAAGCGCTTACAAAATAAAAACATATTTTAATCATCCATTTACTCTTGCACAACTCTGAATGATATTTCAACAGAATGATCATCTAACTCTTCTGATATTACGAAAGATAATTTCGCATTGCTTTGTGCTTTATTCTGGACATTTCACATAAACATTTCATACAAACACACACACACACACACACACTGTGATGAAGAAAACCAACATGCTGTATCCTAAACGACCCGTATTTCACAGTAAGTTAGGGCTCTACTCATGTTTCATAGTCTATCGGAAATGTCGTCTAGTATTTGGTAGAATAAACAAACTACATCTCTTTTATATACTATATACGGACGGACTTCACCTCTTTTGTATGCCATGTACCGATGGACTTATACTAATGTTACATAACTCATGTATACTTACTTTAAACTCTATCTTGACTTTATTTTGAACTGTCATGGTAGATTCACCATTGATTTGTACAGTATTCTGCATTTCACGGTGTACAATTTCTTTAAAACGTTTGTAGCTGATTCATCATGACTTTTTACAATACCCCAAGTATTGTATTTTACTTTTAACTATACGACTTTTGTTGGCTCACCACACCTATTACAATATTTATATTTTGCAATCTACCCTTCCTTACTTTTTTAATGCCGTATAAGAATTACCTAAATTTCTAATCCACAGAGAAAGTCACGCATGCGCTAGATCATGCACATTTTTAAACAAGCTAACGTAGGAAGTTTCAGAAATAAATTAAAATTATTTCTGAGAGCCCATACTTTGCATACGTCCTATTTTGAGCATATGTATGTATTTCAATACCCATTTTGTAACTTAAAGTTTCCCTGAAATAATTTGTTTTTTTATATCAGATATTCTCGCAAAGCCTTGGCAGAATATGTGGCGAATTCTACACATGTTATTGACTGAGATAATGTAAAAATACTTAAAGAGGTAACGGAAAAAGATGAACTAAATATAAGAGAATCCTTAGAAACTGTCAAAAATAAAATGAATATAAATAGAAATTTAGGCCTAGGAGCCATGGAAGTAAACTTTTGGAAATCGTTGTTGTAAATGGCGCCAATGTAAAAACATACTAATTACACATGTACATAGGTTTATAAGAAACTTCATGTGTACTTCGTGGTTTATTCTCCTAAAGATGGTGGAATTATTTCAACCGAAATATGTATATAAATCATTGTGCAAGTAAAAAAAGGTTAATGTCTCGTTTTATCAATTTCATTTAATATAATTTGCAAAAGAACTGTTTGTTTTACGTATTACGCTAGTCATCCCTAATTTTGAAGTGATAGACTAGAGGGAAGGCAGCTAGTCAACGGCACCTACTCCAGCTTTTGGGCTACAAAATTTGACTATCATTCTTATAATGCACTCACGTCCTCAAAGTGCAATGCGCAATTTTTCGGCAGCGGGACGTGAGCAATGGACTCTCTCATTCACAGTTCAACACAATAACCACTAGGTCACTTGAAATGCAAAAAAAAAAATGCTATACTTGTAATTTTTTTTCAATGTAGTTGAAGTAAACACCAACAAAATGAACCTGGAAATGTTGAAAAACTCATTATTTCGATAAATGTTACAAATATATTTCAAGTATTAGATAGAAACTCTACGAAACATTTCATATGTACGCCATCAGCTAGACCCTTGATATTATAAGATCAAGAGTGACTTACGCTCCAGTCTGGGGTGCTCTGAAGTATTCTGGTGTCTCCATCCTCAGTGGAATCCCGACTTTCTTCTTGAAGTGTTTTTCTGTGTTCAAAAAGACGGTGAACAGTTGACTGAGTATTATTCTGTTATAAACGTGATTTCATCAGAACATACACTTTACAAACTTTAAAATTTTATGAACATGACTGACAACTTTACGGCTGAAGCTTTGATAATAAAATGGGGTTAGTCAATATTATCTGTACTCCACAAACTGAACAACATAATGTAATATAATTAGATGATACATAACATTTAATATTAATTAAGTACAACTTGAGTAACAGTGGGCTGGCTTGTTACTAGGTTTGTATATAGATTAGACAGCTTTGGCTTCATATAACTTTTTTGTGCATATGTCTGTAAACATTCCAATATCTCTGTTACGCTCTGTAAGTTTATGACTGAAATACAACACAGCGCGACTACATTAGTACTGAAAATGATAAGAAAAAGATCCTAAGTACATAATATTAAAAACTGCTATTTGGATACTTTGGGAGTAGTACTAGTAGCGATCATGTACAACAAGTTATTATTAAATATAGGTGTCATAAATCACAAATCAGGGTTAGTTACTTGATGGTATATTACTCAATTTTACTTCAAATCATACTTAGTCATTTGAAGGTATAGTGCCCAATTTCCGAAAATAAATTTCAGTTAATTAGTGATATATTGCCAATTATTACCACAGTCAGTATTAATCACTTGTTAACCACAAATTAAGATTAGTCAGTTGATGGTATATTTAACAATTATCTACGAATAAGTTTGTTTGTTTCTTTGTAATTAAGCACAAAGCTACACAATGGGCTATCTGTGCTCTGTCCACCACGGGTATCGAAACTCGGATTCTAGCGTTCTAAGTCCGCAGACATACCGCTGTGCTACTTGGGGGTGGGGGTTACGAATAAGTATTATTAACTTGGTGGTGTATTGCTCATTTCATAAAAAAAAAATCGGTATTAATTACTTGAAGTTATATTGTCTTATAATTAAAGGAAATTAGAACATTTATGAGTTATGAATAAGAATGTGTGAGTAGTTCCTAATATCGATATCGGGTTTGTTTGTTTGTTTGAATTCCGCGCAAAGCTACACGAGGGCTATCTGCGCTAGCCGTCCCTAACTTAGAAGTGAAAGACTAGAAAGCAGCTAGTCATCACCACCCACCGCCAACACTCGGGGCTACTCTTTTACCAACGAATAATGGGATTTACCGTCACATTATATCGCTTCCACGGCTGAAAGGGAGGGCATGTCTGATGGGACGGGGATTCGAACCCGCGACCCTCAGATTGCGAGTCGAGCGCCCTAACCACCTGGCCATGCCGAGCCCATCAATGTTGGTTAAGCGATGGTTATGCTATCGTTTGTTTTACTTCTTTCTTTTTATTTTCACCAAATTTATTTAGACATATGCAGCTAAAATGTTTTATTATGAGAAATGAGGCACAAGTTAATATAATCAATAACTTCCTCTATACATTATAATTTTTTCTGATTTTATCCAATGAAAATATTCAGAATTACTGCACATATTTGGAAATTTATTGATTAGTAAAAGCTGATTTTCTATGGTCAACGGAATGGTTTCAAAATAAATAAATAAATGATTAAAAGTTAAAGGTAGCGACTGAAATATTTCGCTTGTTGGTAAAACATTTCTCGTATAGCACTTTAACATATATATATATATATATATAAACATCAGAGGCTTGATACCCATTACAGTGTTATTGTGTGAAATTGAGAAAATCAAGATATTTTGCCAACATGCCATCATTTTAAAAAATGTTCCAAAAAATATCTTTAAAATGGTTTGTACATAAATTCTTCACCCAACACTATACATTAAATTCTATAAACCCCTCATATTGTGCAGGCATGCTACTGTTGTAGCAGCTTCTTCCAGCACAACCACTCAAGCTCTCATTTTCTATGACAATATTTCTGTCAGATTACTCATTTGGAGAGATAAGTTTTGTTAAAGACTCAGAAGTCGTTTTCGATAGGTTTATTAGATGTGGCAGGAAAGGTTTATATAAGACAGCAGTCGATGACAAATACACAGAAATTGTATCACAAATTGGACAGCTTGAGATTAAAATGTTATAAAAATTCTCATTTTTAACTTCGGAAAAACACAATTTCACTGTTGCCAACAACAAATAAAAGAAAGTTTGATGACAAGGAACTCACTTTGAGACTAATAATGGCCGGAGACGGCTTGAATGGGTAATGAAGAAAAACGTTAACATAAGTTTAACATAACAGCAAATGTACAACGTTTCGACAAGGTTTTGTTATCATCAGCCATTATTAAATAAAAAAAAATATATTCATGTGTTCGTTTTCTATTTAAACGCGGACTTTTAGTAGTTAAGACAAGTAGTTAAAGAATGGAAACTTATTTAATGAAGATTGATTTGCTTGATTTTCTTTTTCAGTTTGATTCAAATGGAGCAACAAAAACATCACACTCAAATAATATGTTTGTTTTTGAATTTCGCGCAAAGCTACACGAGGACTATCTGCGCTAGCCGTGCCTAATTTAGCAGTGTAAGACTAGAGGGAAGGCAGCTAGTCATCACCACCCACCGCCAACTCTTGGGCTACTCTTTTACCAACGAATAGTGGGATTGACAGTCACATTATAACGCCCCCACGGCTGAAAGGGCGAGCATGTTTGGTGTGACGGGAAATCGAACCCACGACCCTCAGATTGCCATGCCGGGCCCTCAATTAATATTTTCATTCATTGAGATTAATTGAACAAGACAACATAAGCAACCGTACATGTTATAAAATTAAGTTCCATCTCCTAAATTTTAGTTTTTTGTTTCCGGACAATTACAGGCCTCCCTTGTTAATGCATCACGTGCGAATATCAATACTAAATACAAACATTCACACGTAACACTCACATTGTTTCGACAAATGACTTTACACTATGTACAAATCTTCACATGTAATACGCACATTGTAGATGTCAGATTACTTTACACTAAGTGCAAACCTTCACACGTAATACAGTTTATTATATACAGTTTATTCTACACTAGGTACAAACCTTCACACCTGATACACAGATTGTATAGACAGGTTACTCAACACTAAATACAAACCTTCACACGCACATTGATACGTAATACACACATTGCATAGAAAGTTTACTCTACATTGGGTATAAACTTTCACACCTAGTAACACATTGCCTAGACAATTCACTCTGGACTAAATACAAACATTCACACGTAATGCACACATTGTATAGACAGAGTATTCTACACTAAATACAAACATTCACACGTAATGCACACATTGTATAGACAGAGTACTCTACACTAAATACAAACATTCACACGTAATGCACACATTGTACAGACAGAGTACTCTACACTAAATACAAACATTCACACGTAATGCACACATTGTATAGACAGAGTACTCTACACTAAATACAAACATTCACACGTAATGCACACATTGTATAGACAGAGTACTCTACACTAAATACAAACATTCACACGTAATGCACACATTGTATAGACAGAGTACTCTACACTAAATACAAACATTCACACGTAATGCACACATTGTATAGACAGAGTACTCTACACTAAATACAAACCTTTACACGTAACGCACACACTGTATAGACAAATTACTTTACACTAAGTACAAACCATCAAACGTATATTCGCACGTAATAAACACACTGTATATACAGATTAATCTCTAATACACGCAAACTTCATGCATATATTCATGCGTTATACATACTACACATTAACTATAAAATCAGGATCCCTCCGAGTAAATCAGGAAAGAGTATGTAAGAGTATATATATTAATATTTAATAATAACGTTTCGACCCACAGGAGAGGGTCATTATCTAGTTATGCTCGACTACAGCTAAATTGTCTCACCTAGCGTAAATGAAATATGTTTAACATTCACATCCTAGAATGTTTTAAGTCAGGCAACTTTCAGAAAGAAGTCCTTAAACTACCTTAAATCAGACAATTTTAGGACAAGACCTCATACTGCTTCAAATCAAAGGTTTGTATTTGAGTAGAAGTTCCAGTAACAAAAATATGTATGAAATGTTAAAATTTTGAATGATATTTAGCGACGACAAGATGACGTCCTGGTGACTCAGCGGTAAGTCTGAGGGCTTATAGCATTATAAATCGAGTTTCGATACTAGCGGTGGGCAGAGTACCGATAGCCCATTGTGTAGCTTTGTGCTGAAAGTAGACATCCATTATTTTAAACTAATTGGCTAAATTAGATCATTTTTTGGTTTATAGTATTGTAGTTTATTTTAAACTAATTGGTTAAATTAGATCATTTTTTTGGTTTATAGTATTGTAGTTTATTTTAAACTAATTGGCTAAATTAGATCATTTTTTGGTTTATAGTATTGTGGATTATTTTAAACTAATTGGCTAAATTAGATCATTTTTTGGTTTATAGTATTGTAGTTTATTTTAAACTAATTGGTTAAATTAGATCATTTTTTGGTTTATAGTATTGTAGTTTATTTTAAACTAATTGGTTAAATTAGATCATTTTTTGGTTTATAGTATTGTAGTTTATTTTAAACTAATTGGCTAAATTAGATCATTTCTTAAAAATTTGATAAGCAAACAAATCTATGGTATTTTGTAATAACTTAAACGTAATGAAGTGTTAATTAACTGAATATGCATTTAACATCACTTTTACAAATATGATAATATGAACTATTTAAAGTTCTTGCTTTGCTTCTTACTTTGTCTTTAAGCTTTGCATAACCTGTATTTTACACATGTAAACTTCACGTATGATATCTGCTCGAAGTATTCGTTACTGTAGTAGAAACCTGACTCTCTCCTTTTATTATAAAATAGAAATTGTATTTGAGTATTTGAGTTTCCATACAGAGTAGTTTGGAATGCGAAATTTGTAGAGGATTTACATGCGTTTGACGAAAGCTTTATGTAAAGTTGCTGTGTAAGTACTTTCTGCATAGCTAAAATATTCGTATTAG